TTTCTGAAGCATAGTTTACAAAGATATTCTCCCATTCCAAGGGCTGTCAACTCACACTAATTATTGTGTCTTTTGCTATGCAGAAACTTCTTAAGCTGATGTAATCCCACTTGTCTATTTTGGGGATGACTGTGCTTTGGGGTCTTATTTAAGAAGTATTTGCCTACCCCAATGTCTCCCAAAGTTTCTCCAGTGTTTTCCAGCAGTAGTATTATAGTTTGAGGTCTTAGGTTTAGATCTTTGATCCACTTTGAGTTGATTTTTGTCAATGTTGAGAGATAGGGATTCAGATTTATCTTTCTGCAGGCGGATACCCAGTTTTTCCAGGACCGTTTGCTAAACAAGTTTTCCTTTTTCCCAAACAAGTACCCTTTGTCAAAAATCAGGTGACTGTATGTTTTGGGGAGAAGTTGACTTTAAGTGAGCAGAGAGAAGCACCCTGCAGAATGACTGACTATCATATTGAGGAGAAATGCCAACTCACTGACAAGCTTAGTGCTAGGGTGTAACATCCTAGGTTCTTTTTTAAATTATTTTTTATTTCAATTTCTTTTATACATTCAATCATATATGTCACTTAGCTTGCAAAGTGGATATTCCAACATGAATAGCGAGGCAAGGCATTTATGGAACAAAGAAATGGGTTATGATAATGTGTATAGTATTCTCAGCTGGATTGGTGAAAATCCTAGGTTCTTTAGATCCAGGTCTTTAAGAGACATGCCTTGAGATGCAGAATAAAAACTCAAACACATACAAATTAAGAAAAAAAAGTTTTAATAGAGAAACAGGATTTCTAATAGGAAGGATATACACGCCCCCACACACACCTGAAAGGCATATGAGTGGGCAACTGTCAGAGACGGACAATTGCCAGTTGCCTAACTTCTTAGTAGAACCAGTAAGCCTTAAAAATAACCAGGAAGCGACCAGCAATTGGAGTAATGGCTATGCTGCTGGACTCTCATGTAGTCGACCACGGTTCGAGTCCCGAACTCAGTGGCTTAAACTCATGCTGGGCATGTGTGCATGCATGCCTAGGATTCCAAGAGGAGACTGGAAGAGAAGGGACTGCAGCGTGTCCATCCCCCCTGGGGGGGTGCGATTTATTGCTTTCTGTCTCTGTCTCTCTCTGTCTTTCTGGTGAGCGCATGTGCCCTATAGCTAAAACCTACAAAAATAAATAAATAAATAAATAAATAAATAAATAAATAAATAAAT